ATACCATGGGACTCATATACCGTCTTTTAAGGTACCAAACCTTATGAATTTAAAATTGCATTTCAAGAATGAATTTTTCTCTGCATTGGTTTGTGTCTCTTATAAAGGTTATCATTCTACATACAATTATCCAAAATTGCCCAATATGCAAGGGTAGAACAAGGATTAAGTAGCCTTTTGGTGGTGAAAAATGAAAAACGGGGTGCCATTTAATAAGAATCAATCTACAGTGGCACCACACTCTCCTAATGGAATTCGTGCCCCTTTTCTAATTTACTCTCAGAAAACAATTTAAGAGTTGAGAGAACTGGTTGACAATTAACCTTTTAAAAGGATCATCAAGGAAGAAGGATGTTGTCTTGTTTTTTTTTAGTTGTTATTCAAGTCCTATAAACTAACCATTAAGTCTTCCTGTCATGTCCCTTCAAGTGTCCTGATCCAATTACTGGTTATGGCTTAAAAAAAAAAAAAAAAAAAAACAGCAACAGTGACTGTCAATGGCCCACTACTACTAAAGAGAGCTTTGGACAATCATTTGGGATACTCACTTCTTCCAACAGATTTGCTTTTGTTTTATAATGTAGTCTACCCAATTGCTCAAGGATTACTTATTCCACTTGTCTTTAACCCTGGCTGCACATTCGAACCATCTGAAAAATTTAAAACTATGTACAGGTTTTGTTTCTAGGAATGGGGCACCAATATCAGTACAGAAACTCTGAATGACTCTAGATGTCCAATGTGCTGTCCAGTACCCCACAGAGCTACCTGGCCCAAATGACTCCAAGTACGATCAACATTGAGAACTATGCCCTGTGCACTTCTTTGTATTTCTTTCCTTCACTAATTTTGGCTTGAATTGCCATTTGGAATTTCTTTTACCAGTAGAGCTCTCTTGAAGAAATCCTAATGATAGAAGTTGGGTTAATCGTGATTTCAAACACTTTAGACCTTCATTGTTATCAAGTCCTATTGCTGAGCTCTTTGGAGTTCTGGAGTTGCACAGAATTTAAAAATTGTTTGCTTTGTGTTTTTTGAGACAGGATTTCTCTGTAGCTTTGGAGTCTGTCCTGAAACATGCTCTGTAGACCAGGTTGGCCTTGAACTCACAGAGAGCTGCCTGCCACTCTGCCTCCCAAGTGCTAGGATTAAAGGCATGCATCACCACTGCTCAGCTAAAAATCATTTATGCCACCATCTCAAGTGTGCTAATGGCTACAGATGTGTGCCACCATGTCTACTTTAAATGGCATTGGAGATGAAACCCAGGTTTTGTGTATGCTACCTCTGAGCTACTCAACTGAATCAAATTTTTTCCTCTGTCCACATACCCCCCCCCTTTTCTGTCTTTTGAGACAGGCTGGTCTTGGACTAGCAGTAGTCTTTTTTCTGTCTTTTGAGACAGGCTGGTCTTGGACTAACAGTAATCTTCCCACCTCCTGCTGTGAGCACATTTGTGTACCACTATCGCAGGCTGGGTTGCTTTTCAGGTTGTTTCTTCTAGGTTTAATAAGAACCCACAAACTTAAAATAAAACATATTTAAACAAGCAAAAGAAACTTGTTCCCTTACTGTAATAACATTTGGAAATATGATTTGAACTGAGGTTAACCCCCCTCCTGCATCTAGAAAATAACTAATTTAATCTGTCTTAAGAGGGTGTTATCTGCAGGATTTCAGCATTCTTCCCAGAGCTAAGTGCACTCAGGCAGAGGTTTAAGTGCAACTTGGGCTACACAGAGAGAATTTTATCAAAAGGAAATTTTTTGGGCTGGAGAGATGGCTCTGAGGTTAAGACCACTGGGTACTCTTACAGAGGTCATGAGTTCAATTCCCAGCAACCACAGAGTGGCTCACAACCATCTATAATAAGATCTGGTTCCCTCTTCTGGCCTATGGGCAGAACACTGTATACACAATACATAAATCTTTTAAAAAATGTCGATCTTTACCTCAAAATGATCTACCTTTCATTCTATTTATTACTATTTCCCAAAATTTGGCACATTTTCATCACACAGAGTGTGACTACAGGTGCATGGGTGATCTCATACTCAGACATACTTTTATATCTCAGATCATGAACAACGGTTCTTGGTTCCCTGTTCCCAGCTAGAACTAGAAAGCAAAACACTTTGGCCATCTGATTCCCTTGTTGCATGTATACTGCAAACAGGGCAGGCATTCAAATGAAAGGGCCAGAAGTCAGATTAGCTGGATCTTTAAAATCTTTAAAAGAATACAAGGAAACAGTCATTGACACATACCTGCTCTTGGAATTTCCACTAAAACAATACATTTGCTCATTCTCCAGCACAGGTATTGTATCTAACACTTGTGTGAACAACAGTCCTGACAACACAGAAACACCTCCCAAGTGACCATGGGACAATACAGTGCTCCCCAGGAAGGAAAAGCAAGCCTATCCCACATTGACACAGATATAAAGCCCAAAGATAGACACTTCTTATCCACCCTGTCTCTACCGGGAATCACACCAAGTCTGACTTTGTTTTCCTGAATACTTCTTTTCAAATTAGACTTACATAAAACATCCTGAGAATTGGGTAAGCAAACTTGGAATTCCTTAACATCACCACTGATAACTTTCTTTTAGAAGCATACACTAGTTTGTCCTCGAGAAGCTGGCAGGGTGAAAATGAAACTGGACATAGGGTAGGGACCACACTCAATATAAACTCAAACACACACTTTGGTGAGTGAGACAAACAAGCCAGATGTCCATTGCTTCTAAGAAGTAAATGGGGATAGTGAGAAAGGGAAATCTTGAGAGGGGGCTTTTGTTCTATAAAGGCACAGGTCAAACAGAAGTTGAAATGTGGGGTAAAATGAAGGCCTATTTCATGGATACTAAGAATCATACACTTGTTTTTGTTTACGCTTTACTATTTCCCCATCAGATATACTTTCCTTTTATCCCCCCCCAAATAAGACCATATTCCAAGTAAACCCTAGGCACAAAGTGATGAACTCCAAGTGCAGTGTAGACAGTTTCTAGTTTCCCAATTTATATGCTTAAGGCAGGTAATTTCTGAGTAGTCCTTTGCATTTAAATTGTATATTAATGAGATCCACCTAATTAACAAGATTTATATTTTTTATTTTTTGAGACAGGGTTTCTCTGTGTAACAATCCTGGCTGTCCTAGAACTCACTCTGTCGACCAGGCTGGCCTCGAACTCATAGATATCCACCTGCCTCTGCCTCCCGAGTGCTGGAATTAAAGGCGTGCGCCACCACAGCCCAGCTGACAAGATTCTCACAGTTTTTCGTGGATTCAGAGCTATTTAAAAAAACAAAAAAGTAAAACACCCAAAAAGATGTGGGAGAAAATGAGGGCTGGAAAGATGGCTCAGTGGTTAAGGGGACTTCCAGAGAACTGAGGTTCAATTCCCAGCACCCACATGGCGGTTCATAACCACCTGTAACTCCAACCCCAGGGAGTCCAAAGCCCTCTTCCAGCATCACAAGAGGACATGAATGTGGTGTAGACCTACAAGTAGGCAAACCACACATATACATAAAATTAAGTAATTTAAAATGAAAACATTATTTACCAAAGAGTTTCCAGACACATTGGTAAGAGAAAAAAAACTTGTAAAATATATGTATAATAAATTCTATGTAGAAATTTTAAATTCACTTAGACTTTATATTTATGCATAAGTATGTATGCAAATACATAGCAAAAAGTTATGAGTGTGTAACCAGAAGTAGTTACCATCTGGGAGCAGGTATCAGGGGTATGACATTAGCTTTGTTTTTCCTCCCCTTAAAATGTACTATTTGCATAACTAAATATAAAATCAGAAATGCTTACATTTCTAGTACTACATGTGATGGTTTCCTTAAAACAGCCTGTAGCAAAATCAACTTCATCAAGGATTAGTTTTCCTTTTATTATCCTGCTCTTTACCATCCACTGTTCTTTGGCTGTTCAAATAGAAGTGAAACACATTAGCTTGAGGACTTCAAAGAGAGATGATGCAGCTGACAGAAATACCAAAATCAAGAGAGCTGGTATACTGCAAATAAAGGCCATTTAAAAAGTCAACCACTGGCCAGGCATGGTGGTGCATGCCTTTAATCCCAGAACTCAGGGGGCAGAGGCAGGTGAATCTCTGAGTTTGAGATCAGTCTCGTCTACAGAGCGAGTTCCAGGACAGGCTCAAAAACTGTGTCAAAAAGCAAACAACAAAACAAAAAAAGTCAACTGCCATCTTCTGACTTGTAGCATTCAAGGGATGATGGTCTGAGCAAAGGTACCACACAAGCCAGGTTTGCTGTTCTTGTGAAGGAACGCAGGTTCAATTCCCAGCACCCATAGGATGGCTCATAACCATCTGTAACTCCAGTTCCAGAAGATGGGACACCCTCCATTGACCTTCATGGACACCAAGCATGCATGTAATGCAGAAACATACGTACAAGCCAAATACCCATACACATTTAAAAAGCAAACTTAAAAGTGGACAAGATACTTGGCATGGCTGTTCAGCAAGTAAAGGCCTAACCACCTAGAACCCCGGTGGTGGAAAGAGAGAACTGACCCCCACGTATGTGCTGTGGCTCACAGGCATCCATATAAACATATGCAAAGTGAGTGAAGAAATGCAAAAATTAAGAGAGAACAATTTTAGAGGTGTGAGGTACACCATTCATTTTCAGACTCTGCAGAGGAGAAAATGATGGAGGGTCACCCAGACTTTCAGCAAAGACGATACACACATCCTGAGTAAGCAAAAGCAGTGCTCAGGGTCTATCAAATGCAAGAGTATCTGTTTAGACGAGAAGCATTTCTGCTTGAAACAGGAACCTCTTGAAAGAACTCATAATTTGGAGTTTGGGGAGGAAGCTCAGTTGAAGTGTTGGCCTAGCATATACAGTAGTTTGATTCCTCAGTACCATACTACTGAGTGTATGGTTCACAGCACTCAGGTTGAGGCAAAAGGATCAGGAGAAATGCAAGGCCATCCTCGGTTACATAACAAGTTTAAGGCTAGTCTTTTATTTTTCTCCAATGTTATATGCTAAAGGCAATTGGAAAATTATGTTCAAAAGTGAAATTAACTGGTTTTCTTGAAAAGAGAAAGGTCATCAAAGCCAAGATATAAATGTAGCATGAATTCTGGTCCATAACACAAAATGTATTACTGTGTTACAAGTGTTAATGAACAATAGTAACATAGTAGCCTATGAGTGGCCCATAACACAATATATTACTCTGTTCCAGGTGTTAACAGCAACATAGTAGCCTATGATGAAGCACAGTACATATAGCTCAGTATCAGCTTTTTTTTTTGTATACTGTCTCCTGTCTGCCTGCCAGCAGGGGGCACCAGATCTCACTCAAGGTGGTTGTGAGCCACCATGTGGTTGCTGGGAATTGAACTCAGGACCTCTGGAAGAACAGTCAGTGCTCTTAATCACTGAGCCATCTCTCCAGCCCTTCAGTATCAGCTTTTTATGAAAACCTGGGCAATGCGTTTTATAATTTAGAAAAGTATGTATGTAAAGTCTCTTTATACATGATTGTGAGCTTCCTATTGGTAACTACTATCTCCACCCCTTCCTGGAGAATCTCAAGGTTCAAAATGGCCATAAGGACATAAAAAGATAATTTGGAAGTTAAAGGAACAAATCAAATCACATCGAGATAATATAATTTACCTTTGCAAATGTACCTACATTATCTCAAATAAATAATGAAGGTCCATGGTGTAGAAGCCTAATGACATTTATAAACAGAAAATTATAAACAGTATCACAGTCTACTTTAAATGCTCTAATTATTTGGCACATAATTGTGTATCTTGCCTTATCTAGAAACTATCCAATGATAAACACAATGTATTTATCAAAGTAAAGATAAACATTGTTGGATTAGAGAGTTGTGCATGTGTGTGTGACTTCTATTTCCTTTTTATTTGCTGGACTTTATCTTTTATTACTGGAAACCAAAAGAAAAGAAAAAAAAAAAGAAACATTTTTTAACACCAAAGAAAAACAATAATTTAGAGTTAGTATGAAAAAAAGATTTCAATACAGTAACAATCATAATCTTAGGGTATTCTTAGGAGACACTCCAAACACAAGCATGTATATTTCATATAACAACATGATACTCTTTTCTCTTCAAATTACTGCTTACCCCAACTGTTGCAGAATACATTTTTTAAAAACACCTTCCATAATCATAAAGCAAAACAAGCAGCAAGCTACTCATTACAGAAATGGTGACTGTATACTTTAACATAATAATGAAATTGATGACTGTCTTAAACTAACTTTAGGTTACGTGACATGTATATACTTGTGGAGAGTTCCATCTAGCATCTACTTTCAATACACACCACCATGCCATCTTACGCCTTTTCCTAACAGCACAGTTATTAGGACAGGAACACAGATAGACCAGAAGACAGGACCAGGAACACTTTGCTGGCCTCAGTCTATCACTGCTTTATCCTTCTCTCCCACGTGCATGCAGCTGACTGATCCTTTTCTTTCCCTCATTCCACTTAAGCTCCTTCATGCCTTGGAGCCCAGCAGGTGTACCGCATTACCTGTCTCTTGTTCAGTTAGTATGGATCACAGGTTTAAAGAGAGAGAATGAGATGTGGGAGGTGGCAAACTACAGAGGATAGTGCCTACCCCAGGAGTAATTACCAGCAAGTCCAGAGCAGAGGCTCCCGTATGGACTTCATACAACTGACAGTGAAAAACTCAAGCACAACCCTCCAATGATCAAGTTTAACTTATTTTAATTTCATCTCTAGTTTAAAAAAAAAACAGTATTCTATTCCAGTGAGGAAAGTATATTTCCTATATATTGGCAGCAGTCTTTACTCTTCAAAAAGCCAGAGCATAGGAACAAATTCTCCAATGACTTGTGATTTCCGCTCTCCCTTCTGCCCCTGCATTTAATTACCAACTCCAAAGGAAACCCAGGAATGGCACAGCTCAACCAGCCTGCAACAGGACACAGCTGTAGCTCATTCTCTTGACTTTCCATGCTCACCATCTCAGGCACACAGCAAAGAGTCAGTGTTTTGCATCTGTCAAGGTCGATAAGTAAAATATCTAAAGAGAGGGCTCAGAGAACACAATGCTAAATAAATCCCTACTATTTAGATGGCAAGGTGTCAAGTCATTCAACTTACTGCCTATTTGGGAAGGTTTAATCTACTTCTAAGAACATGGTAGTATTTGCTCGGTGACCATCACACATTCTCGTGTCTTCAGAAATGCTTACTAACTGCATTACTATATTCTAATTCTTAGAAGAAGTAAATCCAGGGACCATTTCATCTTATCTTACACACAACATTTACTAGTTTTCCAAGCATGACAGAAATGGGAAAATATATATATATATTAGAACAATTTATGTTAATTTCTACAATCTGTCTCTTCTGTGAGCAATGCCTGATTCATTTTTAAATGATCAAATTTTCAGTCCAATGGGAAAAAAAAATCCAATGTGGGACTAGTTACAAGATAAACAAGAATATGATTTTATAATAAATCTTTCCAGTGTTTCTGTAACTGCATTACAAAATGCTTCTTCCTATAGAAACTGAAATAACGCTTAGAAAAGGAAACACAACTTTCTATATTCATTTCTGACAAGCAATGACCAATAAAACATCCTCATAAGGGATCAGAAGTTCTGCCTCAGAGGCATAAATTACCACTCAACACCCTACATAAATAAGCCTTAGTCAGTGGCTACTACCTGGGACCCCTGTTCTCAGGCCAGTAATCCATCTCATGGAAAGCCCTATAAGAAACTCAAGTTGTTGCAGAAGTGAAACTTGGCAAGCTACACTCAAATTCTTGTTAGATAACTGTTCTAAAAAAAAAAAAAAGACAGAAAAAAGATCTTGTTTAATAATAATAAAAAGGCAAATGCTGCTTTTTGATCACTGGGACTTAAAGAGGTCAAAAAAAAAAAGGAAAAAAGTGACAACAATAATTCAAGTAAAGTATGTGTAAATTTAAACACGCCACTGTCACGTTAAGACAAAGTGAAGGAGGATGATGATCGTTGTAACAGAGTCAAAAAGCTTAGGTATCGTCACCAACGGCTAATTCACTTTACAGTCACCAATAAGACAATTGTATATATTTTTGCACCTTGCGCTTGAAAAAGCAGATAAAATATTTAATATGTAATTTACAATGTATTTTACCAGCTCAGCATACAGGATGTTTATAGATTATATCAAAGTAGTAGACAGTTAGGGGCCTGTGCAAACCCTGCAAAAATAGAACTTCAGGTATCTGCTAATCAAAAACAAAAACAAAAACAGTATGCTGTTTAGAAGTGATACAATTCAAACTACCACAAAATACAAAGAACTGCAAAAATGTATACCATTCCAACATCATATATAAGTTATTAAATAAAGATCTGATTTAAAAGAATATAAATGAAGCCTTTAAGTAGGTTTTTTTCTACATGCATATTATTCCTCATTAAAGAAAAAAATATGTAAAAAGGCCATTGGTAATTGCTTTGTTAACATTTGTAGAAAATGCCAATTCTCTGGTCACAAACTCCACTAAGTTTAGCACTTAAGGTCTCTTCAGTGTTATAAACGTAATTTAAAATACTGTTAATTCTAACTCCATTGGTAAAATGATGTGACTTGGAATATGGCAGTCTTCATGTTGAGGGCAATGATCCACAGTCCTGTTTTGTCTGAGCTTCACACGTGAGCAGTTATCCAGAAGAACAGCACCCTCCACTACCGCTCTGAGCTTGAGGCTCGTCATCGATGATCTGCACGCCTCGCCTAGCAGCTCCAGCTTGACTAGAGCCATTGCCTTTCGCCCTCTCATCCACTTGCGCTGTCTCTATCATTCCTGAAAGCAGAAAGCAAACGTGAGTACCAGTCCACAGTCTTTCCAGTTTTCTCTTCTGCAATTCCAATACTCTGCTGTGATAACTATTTCTGACTTTCAATCAACAGACATGGTACATAACGAATACTATCTCAACTCAAGACAACAGATTTAGAAACCAGAATGGAGAAAGTGTAACACCTGGTGTTATAAGGGCCACAGAGAGAGCAATAAAGGAAAACAGCTATTTTTATGTTTAAATAACATACTATGTACTCTAAGTATAATCTTGAGACTTTTCAAACACATCAGAAATAGGTTAGAGTTCAAGTTATTCCTACAACAAGAGATTAACTTTAGGGAACAGGACTTATTTAAGAAAACAGTATTGGGGGGCTGGAGAGATGGCTCAGTGGTTAGTAGTCATACTGCTCTTGCAGAAGTACCAGGTCCCACATCTGGAAGCCAACAACTCTTCTGGTTTCCTCCAATACTCATGCACACTCTCTCTCTCAAATACATGTATAATTAAAATCAAATATACTAAAGCAAATGGTATTTGAAAAAGTAAAAAGAACTTAAGGGGTGGAGAGAGGTTCAGCAGTTATAAGGGTGCTTGTTCCAAAATCCTGGACTGGAGTTTGGATCCCAGCACCCATGCAAGGAAGCAGATATCCCAATAGAAGTCTACTGGCTTTGAGGGGGCAGAGACAGGAGGATGGCTGGGGCTTGCTGTTTCTAGCCTAGCCAAGAAAATGTAGTTTCAGGTTCGGAGAGAGAATCCTGACTACAAAGACAAAGGCAAAGAATGACAGGAGAGAGGACATCTATCTCCCTCTTCTGGTCTCCTTTTGCGTGCACACACTCACACAGACACACACAAAAAGCATCTTAAAATAAATAAAAAGAGCCGGGCGGTGGTGGTGCACGCCTTTAATCCCAGCACTCGGGAGGCAGAGGCAGTTGGATCTCTGTGAGTTCCAAGGCCGGGCTGGACTGACAGCCTCCAAAACAATACAGAGAAACCCTGTCTCATAAAAACCAAAATAAATAAATAGATAGATAGATAGATAAAGATGAATGAGCTTCACTGACAGTTGAAGTAACGTATATACACATATTTACATATGTAAGAGAGAAATATTCATGTGTGGTACATAGTATAAAACTACATGCCTTTAATTCCAGCACTCAGAAGACAAAGGCAGGTAGATTTCTGTGAGTCCCAGGCTAGCCAGAGTTACATGGTTAGAAACAAACAAAACAACACATCAAAATCCACATGAATCCTGACAGTGAACAGTTGGATGCTGGGAACATGTGCTTGTAATCCCATTAATAGGGAGGTGCAGGCAGTAGGATCAGGAATTCAAAGACAGTCTGTGCTACATAGAGTGCAAGACTGACCTAAGTGAGATTTCATCTCACAGAAGGGGGACAAAGAGGGGCACTTTTGTGAGTTTGGCTTAGACAGATTTCCTATAAAAGACAAAAGTCACAAATTCTTAAAAACAAACAACAACAACAACAAAAATCTGACAAATTGAACCTTATTGAAAAGTAAAACATTCCTTTTTGAGAAACAGTTTACAAGAATGAAAACCAAGACACTGAGTGGGAGGTAACGTTTGCTGAACACTTAGTCAACAAGATGTAGGAAGATGAGAAAGGAGTCTGTAAAAGATAAAGTTCTAACGTCTGTCTGTCCAGGGACAGCTATTGAGAACAGTTCTCAAGCTGGGGCATGCCAGGCACTGTAGTGACACACAATGACATTACACATCCTGCTTCTCCTTATCCAATCTTTTACGTTTTCCATCTCTAGGTATGTTTGAGAATGTATGAAATGGATTTATATTAGTATTTTATATGTTAACAGGATTTTAAAATGATCATGTGGAGAATAAATATTCATAAGGCATGAGATTTATCCCAAATCTTCTATTTGAAGTAATATCTGAGAACAGGAAGCATCACCATTTGCGTGCTTGTAGAAACGTGAACTTCAGGTCATGACAAACCTACATCACAATGTGTTTTATGCAGACCCTTACATGGCTGTATACACCAACAGTTATACACTGCACTGGTTCCCAGACCGAGTGTGCATGGGAATCACATGGAAGGCTTGGCACCGACTCTGCAGCCTCCAGACATCTGATTCAGTAGGTCTGGGATGGAAGCTGCATTTCTAGTCAAACTCAATCAACACTAATACTGCTGACTAGTAGGAGACCTCATTATTCTAAAGGAATTAAGAATGACTTCAGAGTCTTAAATAAGATTTATCAAAGTTTTCAAACTTTTCTTCTAGAGGGCAAAACCAGTTCCATCAAATCCTCAGAAGAAAGAGGTCCACAAATGTAAATACTGCAGCTGGGTACTCACTCCCTGTACTCCACAGACTAGCATTTTCCTAACTGTCAGCACTGTAGTGGCAACATGAGAGAAACAGCTCAGGCTACATTTATAAAGAAACTTGTTCTTCTCTCTCCAAGAAAACCCTCTAACACAAAACTCTCTAACATGTGAAAATGGAGAAAGAGCCTAATAAAAGCCCATCCCTGGGCTGGAGAGATAGCTCAGAGGTTAAGAGCCCTGGCTGCTCTTCCAGAGGTCCTGAGTTCAATTCCCAGCAACCATATGGTAGCTCACAACCATCTGTAATGTGATCTGGTGCCCTCTTCTGACCTGCAGGCACACATGCAGGCAGAATACTGTATACACAATAAATCTTAAAAAAAAAAAAAAAGTCCATACCCACATTTTACCTACATTCTATGTGTCCCTAACACTATTTTGAATCAAATCCCAGACATATTTTATTCATGGGTTACTTGAATATGCACCTAACTTTTTTTTTGAGACAGGGTTTCTCTGTGGCTTTGGAGGCTGTCCTAGAACTAGCTCTTGTAGACCAAGCTGTTAAATATGGGTTCTTCTTTTTCATTTAAAAAAAAATGTATGTAGTTAGAGATCAGATGCCATTCACCTTATTCTTGGAGAAAGGTTTTTCACTGATTCGGTTAAGGTAGCTGGTCAGTGAGCCCCTGGGATCCATCTCCACAGTTGGGGGTGGGGAGGTGTTTATAAACACGTGCTACCATGTCTGTGGGTGTTGGGACTCAAACTCAGGTCCTCACAGCTGAGTTATCACCTTAGCCCCTTGAATGTGTCCTAATAACATATATTTTCCTTCCTTTTTAAAAACTAATCACACACACATTTTAAATATATTTAGCATATATCAAACAAGTGATTTCAAAACCATTAGTTTATTGCTTAAAACAGATAAAATACCTAAGATTTTAAAACATGAATTGAACAAATACCAAGTAAAGATAATACAGACAGATCTTTAAGAGAATTTCCTGCTTTCATTGCAGAAACTGGCAAATATTCCAGAAAAAATAACAATACTTTTTTTTTTTTGAGGCAGGGTCTGGAGCTTGTTTTGTGAACTAGGGTAACCTCAAACTCAAGAGATCTGCCTGCCTCTGCCCCTTGGTTAGAAACATTAGCAACAATTGTAAAAGCCATTTGTAAACTACTAATGAGGGTATACATACTTTTACAGAGGTCAAGGAAAAGTTCCTCAATTCCTTTGTTTTGTTTAGCAGAAGTATGATAATGTTTTGCTCCCACAGAATCTGCATACCTTAAAAAAAGAAAAAAATATATCAGTCATTGACATAAAGCACTTGAGGCTTCCTACAATAGCAATTTTAGTGACTAAATTTACCTTTATTGACTTACTAACTTACCCAATCTTCATTACAGTAAGATTATTTAAGTATTTAATTTCTCTATATACTGAACCAAATTAGGAAAGAAAAAAACTTATATACTAATTTGGAACTGAAATACTTTAAAAATTTTTGTGATCTCCTGGTATTTAATATTGATAGCTTTCTTTCATACCAATCATTCATTTTTAGTGATCAAAGGAGAAACAGAGAGAGAATTATCTTACTCTTGCCAGGTGTCCAGCACTTCCAAGAGCAAACATGCTTCCTGAGAGCAAGAGTTCAGTCCACCAAGGGCGGACACTCTGAGGGGTTTATGTCAGCTAATCATCAAAGCCCACGGTTAGCTGCTGTCATCACTGGGAGCAATGGAAAGGGGGGGTGGCCTGGCTTGGGGGGGGCACGTGACACTTACGACTCTGCTTCTTGGATGGAAACATGTCTCTCCTTTTCCAAGTCTATTTTATTACCTAATGTCAAAAAAGGAAACACTGATCTTAATACTGATTTATTTTTAATAACATTAGATAATTCTAAATACACAATTGTGACTATTTGAAAAAATAACAGGAATCCCCAACAGATTTCTAAATGTCTTAATCACATACATAGATGTGAGGGCTGTTCATGCTCACAGACCTGTGTCTCACCCTCCTGCCACAAGTCAGTGTAGAAACTAACTTTCAGCCTGTCAGAGGAAAGAAATCGCTTCTTCCAAAGAAAAGGGCTAAGGGCCACTAGGAAGTACAGTGATGTTTTAAGTTATATACACATGGTTTTTTTGTTTTTGTTTTGTTTTTCGACACAGGGTTTCTCTGTATTGTTTTGGAGGCTGTCCTGGAACTCACTCTGTAGACCAGGCTGGTCTCGAACTCACAAAGATCCGCCTGCCTCTGCCTCCCAAGTGCTGGGATTAAAGGTGTGCTCCACCACCTCTTGGCTTAAATTTAGTCTTTCTTATACACTGGAGCTAAGACAAGGTTTTCTTAAAAAGCAAGCAGAACCAAAATCAAGATACTATGGAAAAACAGATTCCTCATTGAGTACTGGTCCGAAAGAAGTTCAGATGACGTGGGTGGATACATGGTAAAGGTCAGAGAAACAACAAACAAATGGGGTGGTGGCCTAAGGAAGCACACTTTAAACAGTTGTTCTCATTTCTTCCATTTTAACTTTTAGGCAGAATGAGTAAACCTTATAAAGTGATAAAAGCAAAGCACCAATGAGATGAAACGTATATCTCCAAGAGGTACAAGTCAAGAGGTGCTATGTATTGAAGACCTCAAATAATCTGAGCACTTAATTGCTGGCAGCTGCAACAAACTATTTGCCTGCATTGCCCAAGGAGATTTTGAGAGGTAAACACCAAAGTCAGGGAGCTCCAACCAACTCAGCAATGAACCTTATTCTCTGAACAGACATGCTAAGCTACAAGTACTATTCATTTCACTTTCTACATTACAATCTGTCAATAAAAATTCAATCCAATAAATAGCCAGTATACGGAATAGTAATCAGATAAAGCAAACTGTTTATTCTATAAATACAAGAAGCACCAACTGGCCTATAAAACTTCATTACAAGGCTGGAGAGATGGCTCAGGGGTTAAGAGAGCATACTGCTCTTCTAGAAGACTCAAGTTCAGTTCTTGCACCCAAGCTGGTCATCTAACAACTAACAATAACTTCACCTCCAAGAGGTAAAGAGCCTCAGGCCTTCGTGAGCACTTGCACTCACATGTACACACACAAAATTAAAAATAATAAAAAGAAATCTGGCCACCTGTGGTGACACATAACTTTAATCCCAGAACTCAGAAGCAGAGGCAGACAGATCTAGGCTAGCCAAAGCTACATAATAAGTATCTTTGTTTCTCTGTCTCTCTCTACATATTTGCGTGTTATTTTATGTAGTTTATATATGTATATTCACATATTTAAATAACATCATTATATTAGAACAAACTTTGGAAAACATGACTGACCAATGCTTCCAAAAAGATGATCAAGGTTTTGTTAATAACAAAGATAAACTATTCTGGCTTCTCCAAGCTTGGTCTTATTAATATCAGTCACAAAAGAAGTCAGCATTATCTCTGACAGCTGTTTGAGGCCAGGTAAGCACACAAGTTATGCCCAGCTTCTGATTCCTGCACTTTCCCTGTAATGCCCAGCTTCTGATTCCTGCACTTCCCCTATAATGGCCAGGTTCTGATTCCTGCACTTCCCCTATAATGGCCAGGACTCCAATTCCCTGTAAAGCCCTCAGGGTTATAAAGATTTTATAATGGTACCTACAGACTACACACTGATATTTCTAGTACATGTTCCCTGCTCAGTAACTGTCAAATTAGAGAAATAACCTAAAGAAAAAGGGATCCAAAGAGAACGTCTAGAAGTCTATGACTGGTCTTAGAAGTCTTTTATTTTACCACCCTAGAATCATGAGCTACCTGTATCCTTGAAGTCAAAACTGTTCTCAATTAAAAAAACATGTGTACAATTAAGTGCACACACAAGGACACTGACTTACTTAAAGCAGTTCTTACACTTTTTCTTTTTTTAAAGAGCTAAAACTTCTGGTGAAAAGGAAAAAGTTGAGGCAAGCCTGGGACCCTCACTGGTTCCTAGGGTTATCCCTTGAAATACAGGGCTTGAGTCTGCTGAAAAAGTCAACTCCAACTCTAAAAGAGAAATACTAAAATGTCATAAGTTTTCATTTCTGCTATCTCTTTTAAAAAGTATTGTTTTGTCTTTAACAATCAGGAGATAAAGGGCTTTAAAATGAACCACTAGTCATACTTACCAACTATACACAAACAAATTTCATTTCCCAACATTTTCCGTAGCTCTTTGACCCAGTTTTTTACCTGTGTACACAAAAGAACAAACATGACAACAAATCCTATTGAAATTAGTTCCACAACACCTAAAACCTATGGGTATATAAAAATACACCTCTAATTACAAATTTTTAAGAAATTTTTCATACATCCAAGCAAAGCTATTTGCCAGAACAAAACTGTCAAGTCCAGATCTGGTATTAAGATACTTGTAACACAGTCACTTTGGACTTAGAAGACCCTAGTCTTTTTGATCAAACCCTAATTGATTCCTAATAGATACTTCTACGTTATAGACTTCAGGGGAAAAATTAAAAAGTATGTGGGTACTAGAAAAGTCTTTTTGTTATGAGTAATATGTAATGTGTAACTTTAGCAAAATCCCTGGCCTCTACCAAGTGAAGTCAGCTAAATAGGTCTCCAGATTCTTGTCATCCCATGGTGTGAACCCCTGGCATAGGATAACTGGACACCAGGGAGAAAGCTCAACCCTGAAACAGGTGAACATGAACAGCAATTAATGAAACTAATTTTTTAAATATTACAATAATGGGATCAAAATCAAACAGCATGATAAGGAACAAACCAGGATACCTGCTTTCAATTCTTACAGTGAAATTGAATTTATATGCAATCAAGTCTCACAAAGAATATATACTTTGCATAAAACTACATATCTTTTCCTCAATATATGTTTTTTATTTAAATTAGAAACATGAATGCTTCACATGTCAATCCCAGCTCCCTCTCCAACCCCCTCCTCCCTTGTCCCTCTACTAGTCTCCCTCCAGCCCCCCACCCAGTCCCCACATCATTCCCCAGGGAGGGTGAGGCCCTCCTTGGGGGGGATTTCCAAAGTTCCAGGGTCTGTCATTTTATCCAGGGCAAGACCTAGGCCCTTTCTCATGTGTCCAGGCTGAGAGAGCATCCCTCTATGTGGAATGGGCTCCCAAAGTTCATTTGTACACTATGGTAAACACTGATCTATTACCCAAGGCCCCAGAGATTTCTGAGGCCTCCTCACTGATACTACATTCATGGAGTCTGGATCAGTCCCATGTTGGCATCTCAGCCATCAAAATTACACATTTTTAAGTTAGAAAATTCCACTAGCATGTGGTGAGTGAGCATTTACTGTGCACCTGGACCCCTGACATGAATGTTCTACACTGCTATTCTCTACAAGAATGCAAAGGAACTGTCTTGATTAATCCATATAAAAGCAAAGATAATTATTTTCATCTTATAATGAACCACAATTTTCTTAGCACAGCTCAATTTAGTTGATTTCACATGAGAAATATATGATAGAAGGGTAAATGTATCTTCAATATAACTAAATATTTTGGTAAATAATAGTTACCATTTATGCTCATTTTAATTTGCTTTACTGTTTAAAAACTAGTCATCAGTGAATGCAGACACCAAACAAAACAAAAAAGCCAGAATGGATCTTCGAATTAAGTTATCTCCCCAAAAAATACCTTCTGAAAGGAATCTTCATCCGTTATATCATAAACTAAAATAGCTCCATTTGAATCTCGGTAGTAAATTGGACCCAATGCATGGAATCTCTCTTGACCTGCGGTATCCTAATTAAAAACAAATGCTTATTAGATCAAAAGAAACCACATATGGCTGCTATTTTAAATACAGTGAACTTTTACAGAAAGACCAAATGCTTTACTGTCGTACTCTTCCTTCTTAGATCTCCCCATCCCCACTAAATGATCAGCTCAATTGCTACCTGGTCCCTGCCCTAAACTGAGGATCTTTGTAACGCAGAAGAGACTGAAGAGGGCACAGACACATCAGGACTATTTGCTAACACACGCCTGATCACCACTAGCTACTCCTGGCACATGCTGGAAAGAGAATGCAGGCAGGCAGCCCCATCCACTCTCTCCTTTCTGCAACTGAAAAAAAATCGTAACAGCAATATTTAGATAGAAAGCTGTGCTCCAAATAGAATTCTAACTAGATTTTTAGGAACTTTTTAATTAAGGAAAATGCCTTTGGCTAACTAGATAATTTATTTACTTTTAAAAAATAAATTCTGGGACTGGAGAGATAGCTGAGGTTAAGAGCTCTTCCAGAGGTCCTGAGTTTAATTCCCAGCAACCACAAGGTGGCTCACAACCATCTATAATGAAATCTGGTACACTCTTCTGGCCTTCAGGAATACATGCAGGCAGAACACTGTATACATAATAAATAAACCTTAAAAATAATAAATAAATAAATAAATTCTGACATCCAAATTTCTGTTCCTTAAGTCCTTTAAGTAGAATACTTCTCAAGCCAGGCATAGTAGTACACAACTTTAATCTCAGCACACGGGAGGCAGAGGTACGTGGATCTGTGCGTTCAAGGCCAGCCTGGTCTACACCAGACAACTAGAGTTTCATGGTGAGATCCTATCTCAAACAACAAACAGACTATTTCTGAATACTTACCCATATGGCAAGGTTTACTCTTTTTCCACCAATATTTAACTTCTTTGTTAAGAAAGATGCCTAAAATAGAAGAAATACATGTTAAACAATGTTTTATTTAAAATAATGTCTTTCACCCTAACCATGAATGAATTATCTTCATGTCAAACTTAGGTTGTCTAAAAGAAAAGGCAATCACTGAAATTTTAATTTATGGTAAACTATTATTTTCATTAAAGACAAAATATTACTCATACTCTAAGAAAAACATGTTATGAGCATGTTATCAAAACTATAAGAAAATATAAAGAAAGGTGCGGATGTCGCTTGGTGATGGATGAACAGTAAAATCACTGGGAGATGGTCAGTGGGTAAAGCACTTCTCATGCAAGTGTGAGGCCTGAATTCTCATTCCCAGAACCCATTTAAACATGTGTACAAGCAGTAGCATGCATGTCTACAATCAAGGCACACCTAAGGTAAGATGGGATGCACAAACAGGAAAATCCCAGTCTCTCTGTGTAGCTAGCCTGGCCCTCAGGGTCAATACCAACAAAGTATCATCTCAAAATGAGATGAAATCAAGGGCTGACACCCAAAGTTGTTCTCAACTCCCACACATATTGTGCTACACACACATGTATGCAAACATCATACACAAACACATATCCTAAAATAAATTTTGAAACAGGGTCTCATTGGGAAGCCCTAGCTAACCTAGAAATCACCACGTGGACCAGGTTAGCCTTTAACTCGGAGAGATCCTCCTTCTCTGCCTCCCAAATGCTAGAAATTTAAGGTATCCACCACCATATCCAGACACACACACATTTTAAAAATAATAAAACACCCATTAAACACACCAAAAAAATAAAATGGTGCCTATTTTTTCTTATCTTTTTTCCTTCCTGCATATACAACACTTTTTTCCTAAAGCATTACCTATTTACTGATTAAAAAGAGTATCCAGAGTTGGGCACTCAGGAAGCAGGGGCAGGTGGATCTCTGTGAGTTTGAGGCCAGACTGGTCTACAGAGTTGAGTGCCAGGACAGGCTCCAATGGTATACAAAGAAACTCCGTCTCGAGAAAACCAAAAAAAAAGTTATCTACACGATTCTGAAGATAGCCAACATTGCTCAAAATGCTTCTGTTCCTGTAATTCAATAGTTTACCATGCACCTCTGTCAAAGAAATGAAAGGACAGAGGAGCTTAGGCCACTAGAGCATACATGTACAGAGAACACAATTTTCTTATACTGACTGAATCAGAGGATCCTGTCAAGTTCACTAAAAGGGGCATCCTGGGAAAGCAAGTTCAGTGCTTGCCTCAGGGAGTTAAGGTAGTAAATGATCTCTCCATTAGGTGTAGTAGGAATTTTTCCTAACCATAAACAAAGCTACTGAAGCCTAAAACAAATGAAGTCACCCTCAGGGGAGCTCCAAGTTGGTATGGTTAATTCGAGTGTGACCACATAAATGAGCAGGGCTAAATCAAAAGGCCCTAGGACTGTGGCTCTGAGAGCTCTTGGCAAATCAAAGTGTTCACCACAAAGGAGGGCAACCCCGATACCACCTATGATTTTTTTAAAGATCCTATGAAGGGCCTGGAGAGATGGCTAATGGTTAAGAGCACTTTGTTCTTGCAGAAGACCCAACATGGCAGATCACAAACACCTGTGACTACCATTCTAAGGGATATGACATCCTCTTCCGACTCCATGAGCACCAGGAATGCATGTGGTACACAGATATACATGTGAGTAAAAATCCAGGAGTATGAACTTTACCTTGTAAACCTTTACTTTTTCTCTTTCCCTTGAGACAAAGCCTCACCTATTCCAGCCTGGCCTCAAACTCACTATGTTGACAAAAATGACCTTGAACTCCTGATCCTCCTGCCTCTATATCCCATGTGTGGAGATTACAGGTATACAACAATCACCTTGGTTTATGCAGTGCTAATTATCAAAACTCAGGTCTCAAGCATGAGGCATGCACTCTACCAAATGAACCACATCCTAAAACCCCACCCCTTGTAGGTCTTAATAAAAACTGTCCACACACACACACACACACACACACACACACACACACACACACACACACACACACACGTGTACGTACGTATGTACGTCAGGGATATTTGAAAAATGGCATATAATGCTTTCTGAATATTCATAATATGTAGGAGCATATTACAATTCTGTCAAAAGGAAGGCTGGCTAACTGCTTTTACACAAGCATTCCCCTAAATCATATGTCTCACTCCTGAGTTTTCTTCTATATAGAACTAAACAACTTCTTCCCTCAGGAAGTTTCTATTTATACTAAGAAGCACCTGTTAAGAAAGCATCGAGGGCATCACTAAGGAATAAGACCAGGGAAACACATTAATCTTTTAAGAGAATGACTGTGGGATTGGAGGTTGGATTAAGGACAGGACCAGAATGGAAAACAGAACTCTACTACAAAGTTAATTAAAGACAAAACCAAACAGAACTCAGACGATGAAGCCATAGGACAGAATGAAAGATAAATGAAGACCAACGGGCTGTGGGAGCACATGCCTGAAATCTCAGCTCCTGAGAAGACTGAGGCAGGAGGATAAATTCAAAGTTAGCCTGGTCACACAGTGAGAGTCAGCCTCAAATAGAACAACTTATCAACCAGGAAATATATACCCAGAGTCCAGACTTAGCTGACATGTTTTTAAAAGGAAGAGTTCCAAAATGTGGCAAGGCAGTCACATGCAAGTTTATCTACAAAGAGAAAATTGCAGAAGGCAGGACAGTGTGAGCATGGCAAATTTCTGGCAAGGAGAAGAAATGTATATTCCAAGTGTGCTATGACACACCAAGGAAAATCAGAACCCAGGAAAGCCTGTGAATTCACCAACTTAGGTGTCCATAGATAGGATAAATGGCAAAGCTGAGGTAAACCTAGGGATAGATGTCTCCAAGGGGCAAGCTATAGTACTACAGATAGTGTAAGTGAAACATAGGTTGTATTGAAAAGAAGAACAGAAAAATAAACTGAAATGTCAAAATAGCAAAACTTGGAAAACGAGAAGGCCATGAATTAAAACAAAATAATACAAGATGTCTCCCACTTTGTAGCACAGAAGCTAAGAAAGTGATTTTTAATTTGAATCTCACTTCGCTTCTTACGAGTTATATAATTTACTTGAATTTAACCCTTCCCAATAAGGTTCAAATATCAGTGCCTTGTAGAAGAAATGCAAACTCTGAGTCCTAGCCAAATTCTGTGATTCTTTTTCAAATGTATCTAAAACTAAACTGATTGATCTTCCCTGCAATTTTGCTTTGCAACTTCAACATTTTGTCTCCATCTTAATCCCCCAGCTACCAGCCCCACTGTGTGTGTGTGTGTGTGTGTGTGTGTGTGTGTGTGTGTGTGTGTGTGTGTGTTAAAGACAGGGTCTTACCATACTGAACAGGGTGGTATTGATTTCTGACATTATCTGCTCCTCCTGTCTTAGTTTCCTCAGAGGCTATGACTACAGGCTCACACCACCATGCCCAGCTATCTCAAAGGTTTAGAATCTTAGACTCATATTTTCTTCATATTTTCTGTGGAGTTCTATGACACCTTGGCCTCATAGCAAGTCCTTTGATCTCCCCTTATAATGTGACATTATCCTGAATGTAAAATTATCTCCCCCATGTCTCCATATAAGATTCACATAGTTTACACTGGATCTCTCTATTCTGTACTTTCTGAGAACCTAAACTGTAGCACAGGAATATACTGTCTTGTACCATAGCTTATCTTTTAGGATATAAGAATTCTATTAGCTATTTTATATTCAGTCTTTTTAGACTAAATTAAAAATAGGCAATATTAGGCCGGGCGTTGGTGGTGCACGCCTTTAATCCCAGCACTCAGGAGGCAGAGGCAGGCGGATCTCTGTGAGTTCGAGGCCAGCCTGGTCTACAGAGCGAGTTCCAGAACAGCCTCCAAAGCCACAGAGAAACCTTGTCTCGAAAAACCAAAAAAAAAAAAAAAAAAAAAGGCAATATTTTAATAGCTTTTCAAACTATTAACTTACTTAATTCTCAAAACATGCTTATGAGTCAGGGGCAATTACTACACAAATATTTAGGCATGGGAATTAAGACCCAAGGAGAGTGTCTTGCCAAAGGCACACAAGTATCAAGTGGGATCTACAGTCCAGACAGTGTATGAACAACTTTTAACCAGCAGACTTTGGTTCCTCCTAGGCTGACATCTGAGCTGACCCTGCTAGAGGGAGGTAAATAACCCTGCTCTTAACAAACACTCGGGTGTTACTGGAACTGAACACCTCCATGGACACGCCCAGGAAATTTGGGGGAGCTATAACACAATTTATGTAAGAAATGTGCTCCTAAAAGTTTCTTTATAAACCACACTTTAAATATATTTTTTTAATTTAAAAGTTTTGGCTAAGCTGGGCGTTGGTGGCGCACGCCTTTAATCCCAGCACTCGGGAGGCAGAGGCAGGCGGATCTCTGTGAGTTCGAGACCAGCCTGGACTACCAAGCAAGTTCCAGGACAGCCTCCAAAGCCACAGGGAAACCCTGTCTCAAAAAACCAAAAAAAAAAAAAAAAAAAAAAGTTTTGGCTATTTTTTTTTTTTTTAGATAGTTTCTCTTTGTAGCCCTGGCTGTCCTGGAACTCGCTCTGTAGCCCAGACTGTCCTCGAACTCACAGAGATCCACCTGCCTCTGACTCCTGAGTGCTGGGATTAAAGGCATGAACCACCATGCCTGGCAAATTGAAAAGGTTTTTTATTTTGTGTTTTTTTCCACTGTGTGTACACAAGATATGTGTGGGCAGGTATACCATGGCCTAAGCACCTTTACATGGCACCCATACAAAGGGGTCCTTGGGATGATATTCAGGTTGTCAGGGCTGTGTAGCAAGTGTCTCTAGTTGCTGAGTCACCTCATCAACCCATGAACTAAATTATCTTAATTCACATAGGAGATGCACTTGTAAAGCATATTTATTACCAGAGTAACCTTTTCCCCTTCCAGTTAGGCCCCACTGTGGAAGATTCCTTCTGTAATAAGTCATC